CTGCTCTCGGGACTCCCGGGTATTTTATCGGGACAACGCGGCCGTTTAGGGCCGGATCAGAACCAAACAAGCAGATCCAGCAAAGCAGAACTCTCCAAACTCTCAGCAGCCTCAAGTCAATCTCGTGGGCAGCTTTAAAGCCTCGACAAATTAAATAATTCAGGACAACAAACGCAAGGAGTAACCCCAACCCCTGCGGATTTACCTGCGAGTGGTCGTACCCAGCCAGGCTCTCTCTTCCTGGGACCACTTCCAGCTCTGTCTGTTGTGGCGGCTGCTGCTGCCTAAAATAGAAAACGTCTGTAAGAGGAGAACGCGGGCTGCTCAAATCCATCGCCGAGGGAACAGAGACCCTGTGGTCACACCACTGATTCGTTAGCCCGGAGGAGGCCACTGCTGCCGAGAGGAAGGTTTGGGCAGGTGACAGGAGGGCAGAACCGGTGAGAGAGGCACGGGAAAGGGAGCGGAGCCCGTCCTGACCTTGCGGGCAGCTGTGCCGTGCCCATCTCCAGGGGAAGGCTGACGCCCTGCCCCAGCTGGGGCCTCTGCACTGGGTTTGACAGGGCAGGTCGAGACTCCTGGCTCGAGTTCCTTCAAATTAAAGACAAAAAAGAAAAAAAAAAAAAAAAAAGTAAAAAATACCAAACAGTTGGCTGCTGCGTGGAGGAGAAGGCGCCCGTCTCGGACAAGACGGGAAGCTTTGCTTTGGCAAAACCTGGTGGAGGGTCCTTCCTCGGGGTTTCGTGGTCTCTGGGGGGGTGGCAGGTAAAACTGCGCTAACGGCCGCGAGCCGAAGGGCTCGGCCACGGAGCCGGGGAGCAATTAACCTCCACCAGGAGCACGGCTAGGTCTGCGTCATGCTTAAAGCACAAGCAAAGGCTGGAGGAGCCCAAAAAGCCCCGAGGTTTTCTGCTCGGCTCTGTCAGACACTCCCGATGGAGCCTGCACGGACCCCCAGCATTTAGGTTTTAAGCCCAAGACGTTGGTGGAGCTCGTTACGCTCTTCTGTCAACCGCCAGAAGTCAGTTAATGTTTAATTCCCACAAGAAAGGAATAAAAATCCAGCGTTTTCTCGACTGTTCTTTTGCAAGCTGCTGCTTCAGCAGAACCTGAAGACAAACCAATAGAGAGAAGCCGGGAAAGATGGAGAGAGATCAAACGCACCTGGAACAGCGTCAGACATGGATGGCTGCTGCTCCGCTCCGGATGGATGCAGCGCTTTTGGAAGGCGGAGGAGCATGGATGCGAGAATGGATGCGTGTGGAATGAATGAGTTCAAAGAGATATCTCTACACGGGACACGAATCAAGGCCTGATTCAGATTCCAGCCCTGCGCTCAGATCGCAGCTCTCTAAAGCCAGAGGGATTTCACCCTGCTCAGCTCCGAATATTTTCTCAAAAGAAAACATCACCTCGGCAGCTGCAGGAAGGAAGAAGTGCCACGGGCACTCTGGGACCTTGCCTCGTGCAAAAAAAAAAAAAAGAAAAATCCTGGCTTTTCACCTGCCCACAAGCAGCCTGGCCTCTGTTTGCCTCGCTGGAGAGACTCCATGGCTGCAGTTAGGAATCACATGCAGGCACTTTTTTTTTTTTTTTCCTCCTTAATTTCAGTTGCTGTTGCTCATGGGATGAGCGAGCAGCTCTGATCACTCCCCAGAGAGATGCAAAAACCCATGGAACAGTCCAGAGGGGGAAAAGAGGAGAGCGGCGGGGAAAGCAGCCTCCTGCTGGAGCTCGTGTCCGAACCCAAGGACAACCGGTGGAAAAAAAATCAACGTTTACTTTCTACCCTCCTCCTGCCCACATGAAAAGCTGCTCTCCAGACCAGCTGCTCCCCCAGGGCTGTCACCGGAGTCCAAGAGTGACAGTCAAAGGCAGACGTCACTAATATTAGCTCCGAATGCAAAAACCCAGCCAGGAGACTCGCTCCAGTAACCGGAGTTAAAAACAGCCCTGCTGGAGCCGAACTCTGGCCGCTCGCTGAGCCACACAACCCAAGGAATTTGATTTCTTGCGCTTTAGAGTCCGCCAGTGCCTGCCACGGCTCAGGAAAAGAGCTCATGGGACTTGGGAATTTCTCCAGGGCCTGTGCAAACCGGTGGGAAGGGTGGTGAGGGGGAGAGGCCGGAGCTCCCGCAGGTCTGTGCTGCTGGTTATACTGGGACAAGATCCCAGCGGGTTCGTGTGCTATCACTGGGGGTTGGCAAGTCATTTCCATGTACATACTTGACATTGGTGTTGGTACAGATGATGTACTCAATTTCATCCGAGTAGGGGTTCTGGAAGGTAAAGGAGCTGGTTCTCATCCAGAGCCATTCCCGGTTTTTGGATCGGAATCGGAACATGACTGACAGAACCTGGCCTTTTAACTTCACCACCTAAAAAAACGTAACGCCATCAGTAGGACCGGATAAAAGAAGGTGTTGAAGAGCAACTCGCTCCTGAGCATAAGCCACCCCCCCACCAAAACCTCGGGATGGCCCTTTGCCTCAAAGCCTACAGCCCCCGCCGTGGTTTTCCCCACCTCCACGGCACTGCTGCCGTTCCCTGGGGCTATCTCGATTCCCGAATGATTCTCGGAGTTGGGATCCAATATCCCCTTTTTGGCTTTCACTTTTCTTATCTCTTTGCACTGGTGAGATGTATGGAAAAGCCTCCAGTAAATGAAGCACATGCTGTCGCTTCTGATTCCAACTATTTGGACAAATGGATATGAGCAGCTATTTTTTTTTTGGAGTCATGAAAGCACAGGGGCAGTCTTACCTGCCCTGCCACAAGTCCAACGCCCTCAGAAATAAGAGTAACGACAACAGGGCAAGCAAACCACATCCATTTCGAGTTCTGGGCCCTAGAGACGAACCAGGGTTTCAGCCACAGAAGCATGGCATTCAAGTAGGTACTTTGCAGCCACGGCTCCGGCCCTAAAAGCAGACCGGACTAGCAGCCAGAGGATGAATTTGAGAGTTAGACATCAGATGCTTCTGGTTTTGTTTTGCACATTTACAATTTTGTGACTGTATCCGTAACTCTCTGCCGTTGGGCAAAAAGAGAGATATCTAAGGTTTATTTTTTCTTGGTTTTCCAATTAATTCCATTGCTTCGCAAGCACCGAGACAGACTCTAATCCCAACACCACGCTGCACGCAAAGCGGGAGCTGAAATGTTTTACCTGCTGAAAGCTGTCCCGCAAAAGCTGCTGGTCCTCCGGGTGGCAGAAATCCACAATGTCTTTCCCCAGAAGTTCCTAATTTTGAAGGAATTGGGAGAGATGAAGTCAGTTCATCTGGCAGGCAGACTCTGGCTTTCAGGTCTGCCCCATCAATTCCCCTTCGGACAGGTAGTTACTGCTCGCCCAGCACCAAATCGCTGTTACACAAACCACGGACAAGAGCTGGCCTGCTGCGTGCTAACGAGAAGCACAAGAGCGGTCGACTAACGTTTGATCTTTAACTCAAACGGAGGCAGAAATGATCTTAATTGACATTAGACATAATCCAGAGCCACCCATCCTTCCAAGGATCAAAGTGCTTAAAAAAAACCACATGAAAAAGCAACTGGTGGAAAAGGAACACGGCTGGTTGAGACCCTGGGCATCGTTTTATCAGATCTGTTCGACAAGCAGAGCCACGACGTACAGGAGAGGGAGGAGGGAAAAGCAAGACTCAACAGCAATCCTTTCTTCGAAAGCTCCGGCCGTTTTCTCACCTGTGGCTGGTAGCCAACCGTAGCCACGCAGCGGTGATCGATGAAGGTGAAAATGCCTTCGGTGTTGTGTCGGGAGATGAACTCTGTGGGCTGACAAACACTGTTCATGTCTGTGCAGTTGGGCGAGCTGGTGACCTGCAAGGCACGACGGGCACGGCGTTATCGCATCTGGCGAGAGCTGCTCTCTCCTGGCCAGCCCCTGGGGAATATCTTCAGACAGAAGACTTGAACTCTGGGGATTTTGAGGACAAGGCAACGTCGAATCATCGAAGATGTTACCCACCTGCAGCCTGCCGATAGCCACCAGGCAAAACTTGCTGCCCTGGCCAGCGTCCGGGTCGTCATCAGGCAGCGAAACACCTGAGAGGAACGCCAAGAAATTCCAGCAAGGTTAATACAGGAAAAATTGCTAATTTCAGAGGAAAAAGACACGCAGTTCTGACTTCAATACATCTTCCCATCCTGTTTTTAACTTTCCCATGAGGAAATATGGTCAATTAAGTTGCCTCCCCCTCCCTTTTCCACCAGAAGCATTCGAGATCTCAGAAACTTTCAGCACAAGCCCATCAGACCGTGTAAGTTTATTTGCATCCTCTGCAGACACAGCTCTCTGGATCCAGCATCTGCAAAAATTTGTTCAATCCTAAAATAATAAAAAGTGATGCTACATTTGGAAAGCATCTGCTGGCACATCCAGCTCACAGAAGGGACAGCGTCAGACCACGTGCTCCTAAAACCAGCCCCAAGTGAAGGCTTCAGCCCGGGCGTTACCTGCGGGGGGCCAGGCCTTGATGTACCCCGTGCAGTGCACCACGACGTAGTGAGGCTCGCCGTCCTTCGCTGCACCTAAGCCGTTCCTTGGGAGAGAGAAAGACAGTCCCGTTGTGCTAAATATTGAACTGGGGTAAGGCGAGGCAAGGTTTCTACCCGTATTTTTAAAAAGCTTCCATGGGATATCTTCAGGGTAAAGGAAGAACGAAGACTTAACGTAAATACAAGCAGTCCGAGAACAATACGCTGGAATTTATCTCAATTTGCAACTAAAAATGGATGATATACACCAGAGCCCTGCAACAAACGTGTGAAGAACGTGGGGGTTTAAACTGACTTCAAATCCAGCCTTGGAATAAAGAAAAATGAATCCTCCCTAGGATCACCTTCCTCAACGCATCAGTACTGGACTCCTCTACCAGCAGATCCATCTAAACTCTTCTGGAAGCTGTCCCAGCCCACCCTACACGCCCCCACCGCTGTGTCCCCCCCTCTCTGAGGATGGAGCTGGGGCTCCTTTTGTTCCCAGCAATGCAGCGTGCTGCCCCGGACCTCGTGTTATTTACCTGCAGCGGTTCCTCATAAAGCTGAGACGATTTACAGAGACGGGATCCACGGAGCTGTTGCCACACCTGGACCAGGATCAGAAACACGAGGGGAAAGGTTTTGAACTTTCTTGGGTCAACATCAAAACAACGTGACAATCTTAAATAAGAGGAAGCACTCCAGAAATGGGGATGAACCTTTGAATCTCCATCACACAAGTGAAAAACCCTCATGCTACGGACTTCAGGGGGTCAAAACAAATTGTGACGTGAAACTAGATCTTCCACAACAAAAGTCTTGAGAGCACAGAGCAAAGAAAAACCTCAAGAACTTTGACTGTTAGCACTGTGTGGAAAGCTCAGCCGTGTTATATCATGTCTATGTCAGAATGAGCAAAAAAAGCCAAAAAAAAAACCCCACGGAGGGGCCAGGGAACAAGTTGAGATCAGGCTGAAACGAGATTTCCGTAAGGAATCTCTCCGTTACCTCATCCGGCAGATGAAGGATCTCCGTGAGCCCATACACATCCTCATGGACTGCTGGCCTTCCTTCTTGACAGTCCCCGTCTTCAAATCGAGGATGCGACCTAAAGAAAGAAGAAAAAACAAGACGCTGCTGCAAGGTGAGTCCTTTCAGCAGCACAGGCACCAGGTCACGTATTAGAAAACTAGCAGGACACAAGTGTCACCGGTGGTACCTTTAGATGCATTCTCAGGGGGGGCTGCAGGATCCTTGTTAGAAAGGCACCAGGGTTTGGTTCCTTCTACAAAGGGAAGGTTTTAATCCAAGGCCTCTGCAGGCTTTCACGCCGCCCGCCCCCGCCGATCCCTGCCCGGGCTGCGGTACCTGTCAGGGCGTTCTCCGAGGTGGAGAGCTGCTCCCTCAGCTTGCCCACATCGTCGGGGTGCACCTGGTCGTACAGGGTGCTGCCGAACCACTCCGACTGCGGCTGGTTCAGGACCGGAGTCACAGAATCGGAGACGTAGACCACCCTGCCGGTCTCACAGGAAACGATGAACAGAAAGCCATCGGCTGCCTCCAGGATCAGGTGTTTGAGTTCCTGCAGAGGGACAGACAGAGCTCTCAGCTCCAGAGCCAAGCGGGTGAAGCCCTCTGAACCCACCCCGGGTGCCTGTCTGCCCCCACCCACAACTCAATTCATAGAATCCCAGGATGGTTTGGGTGGGAAGGGACCTTAGAGACCCCCCAGCCCCCCCCCCTGCCACAGGCAGGGACACCTCCCACCAGCCCAGGTTGCCCAAAGCCTCATCCAGCCTGGCCTTGAACCCCTCCAGGGATGGGGCATCCACAGCTTCTCTGGGCACCCTGGGCCACTGCCTCACCACCCCCATCATAAAAAAAAAAAAAAAAATTTTCCTAATTTCTCATCCAAATCTCCCCTCTTTCAGCTCAAACCCGTTCCCCCTCGTCCTGTCCCTGCACCCCCTGATCCAGAGCCCCCCCATCTCTCCTGTAGCCCCCTTTCAGCACTGGAAGGTGCTGGAAGGTCTCCCCGGAGACTTCTCTTCTCCAGGCTGAACACCCCCAAATCTCTCAGCCTGAAAAAACCTCGAAGCCCATCCAGTCCCACCCTCTGCCACGGGCAGGGACACCTCCCACTAGCCCAGGTTGCCCAAAGCCTCAATTCCTCCCCGTGATCGCGATATTTCCCGGAAAACAGCATCAAGCCCAGACCTGGTCGGTGAGGAAGGAGGGTTTGTAGGTGCCGTCCGTGGAGGTGTTGCCGGTGCCGCGCAGGGACTTCATGTGAGACACGGCCATGCGCAGGATGGTGAGCTTGTCCGGCTTGCGGGCCAGGGCGCTGCAGGTGGGCACCATATCCGACAGCTCGGTGATGTAGGCGGTCATCTTGTTCCTTCGCCTACGTTCAATCTCACTGTGATTTTCCCTGCAAAAAGGCCAGGGAGGAGAGGAGGAAGACAAAAGTTACCGACGGGTCAGAAGCTTCAGCCGTTTCCCCACGTTCAACGCTTCCAACAAGGCCAGAGTGCAGAACACAGAGACGCGGCAGGGTCGCCAGGAGTTAGAAGGACTACAAGCGCCTCGCATGCTGGGCGTGCACAAAGGGACGCGGGAACAAGTGCAAGGAGGAGAGCCTACAGCTGGACCTTCTTTGCTGCGGACAAGAATCCTGCTCCACATCGCGTCGGTTCCCTGGTGAAGGCAAGGAGCCAGGCTGAGCTATGGTAGCAGAGAAGCTTCCCCATCGATTTCACTGCAGCAAGAGGATTCCTTCCTCTCCTACTGCTCTCAAAGTGGGAGTCACCTCGCTCTACTGAGGAAATCGGCTTTTAAACAGAGATGGACTCTGCAAGGATGAGTCCGATCCTTTTCGCCATCACCCTGCAGGCATCCATGTGTCCCCAACAACCCCGCGGAGGCCAGGCTGCGGCTCAGGCTGGGGCACCTGGGTTACACCAGGTGAGTCTCACCGTGCAGCGCTGTTGGGAAGATACTCCTCAGTTACACTGAGAGCTTTTTGCAATATCGTGGCAGAAGGGGAGGCTTCCAAGCAGACATACCCCTGATTTCTGTGCGGATCAAAGCCAGCGTGGGCAGACCGACCACACGCCTGGGTGGTGTGCGCGGACCTCTAAAGAGGCACCGCAAGGAATGGTGCCCACGTGGTCCTTCAAAAGGTTCCTCACACGCCTTCTGCAAGTCTGCTCACAGGGCACAGTGCCCACTGACTGCTCAGACTCAGTTCTTTTTCATAGAATCACGAAGGTTGGACAAGACCTCAAGGATCATCAGCTCCAACCGTCAACCCAACCCCACCAACCCACATCCCCCAGCGCCACATGGACACGGCTCCTGACCCCCTCCAGGGATGGTGAAGGTTGGACAAGACCTCAAGGATTTTCAATCCTTAAAATCAGATCATCAAGTCCAACCATCAACCCAACACCACCCAACCCAACACCACCCAACCCACTAAACCACGTCCCCAGGCCCCACATGGACATGGTTCTTGACCCCCTCCAGGGATGGTGACTCCCCCGCTTCCCGGGGCAGACTGTTCCAAACCCTGAGCACTCTTTCTGGGAAGAAATTTTTCCTAATCTCCAGCCTGAACCTCCCCTGGCGCAACTTGAGGCCGTTTCCTCTTGTCCCATCCCTTGTCCCTTCAGAGCAGAGCCCAGCACCCCTCCCTGCACCCTCCTTTCAGGTAGCGTGATGAGGTCTCCCCTCAGCCGCCGCTTCTCCAGGTTATCCGGTTTAACCCGGTTACTAAGGTGGGTTCCTCAAAACAGAACTCAAACGCCAGGTTTCCTATACAGAAGGATGGAGCAGATGCAAGGAAGCAGACAGTGGGAAATGAGATGAGATGGAAGTGTTGGAAGGAACACAGACAGGCAAGTGAGTGGAAGAGGATAAACACAAAACGGAGCGTTCATCACTACCCCGCTGCGTGATCAATGACCTCGCTCCTGCTGCAAGACACTGACCTCCAGAAGCGCTGCAATTACCACGCTCACCTTTCGTTCAGTTCCTCCAAACTCCTACGCTCCAGTGGGAAAATGAAGCCACCCTCACTACCAGAGCTACCGGGAAACCACCAGCCACCTGCTTGCCCCGCTGCCAAATATTCTGGGCTACAGGCTCTTGTGTGACAGCAACAACTGACGGCTGGGGACAGAGGGAAGGGTCACTGCTCCACGGGAGGAGAAATCCCTGCCCAGCGCTGCTGCTGGCTTTATCCGCTGGCCCCACCTCCGGGGTTTCCTTATCTCCTCAAATATTTAAGCTATGCAATCCCGCCGTTAGGAAAGGCTGCGGCTGGGGGTTATTTTTTGTTTTAAAGCCGGCCAGCAGGCAGTAAACTGAGCGGGACGGCGGCATTCTCAGCGCCCAAGAGTTTTTTCAGTGCTGGGCATTGCTTAAGAACAAGTCAAGGGTGGAACGGTCCCAACCAAGTTCTAGAGTCAGCTCTGGAACAGGCTGCGGGTGGCCAACAGCAGAAACCTCGACGGTGATTTCGGAGGTTTTTATTTTGCAGCTGAGAAAAGGGAAGGGAATATTTAGAGGCAGTGTTTTGCCGCTGGAGAAACGCGGTCCTGACGACAGCGTCTCGACCGGCTGCACGCACACGTTCTGGGGGTGCATTCAGAACGACCACTTCGGTTATTGTGGCCACGGTCCCACGTTAATTACAAATAGGAAATTTGGGGGGGGGGTGGGGAAAGAAAAATCTAAACTACTGTAATGCACAGGACATATTCTTTACCAAAAGTTATAAAGGGGCAGAAAAAAATCCAAACCAGCACACTTTTTAACGTCTGTTTTGATAGCACAACAGCAT